AGTTGGTGTGGTTTATTTTTGTACAAAACAGCTGTCACCTCAGACATGCCCTTCCCAAAAAGCAGAGGTGAACCAATGTGACTCTCGCTGATGCCAGGTCTTTCCCTTCTGTGCAGCCCAGGTATTTTAGCACACATGAAACCCATCTTCCCACAGCTGGAGGAGGCATCACAGATACAGAGATCTCACCGTGGGTGTCTTAATAACACATCATTATCAGTAAAGTGTTTTACATTAAAAATAGATCCAACACCTTGCAGGAGGAGGCAGTTTCCCACCAGGAAGCATGTGTACCTTGCTCTGGAGGCAGCGTGGTAGCAGCTCACACCCCCAGTGAGGTCTCCTCTGCCTCCAGCTGCTCTGGGGGAGCCAAGTTTTCATCCATTAATCTGTCTAGACCAACATCTGCCCCCGGATGAAGCCAGCAGCTCATTTTGAAATACAGATTCCTACCTTCTCCACTCAGCAAAGGACCCGGGGACAAGAGCGGCCCAGGGGTATTTGGGGATGGGTGGGTTGGGAGCCCCTGGCTCCGTGCTGAAAACATCCCTTTCCCCAGCCATAGCCATTAACTGGGAGGCTGCGATGCTGCAATTAGTTTCAAGCAGTCTCTAGCATCTTCATTAGCTTTCAGATGTTTTTGACGTGCTTAATTTACGCCACAGAAACCACAGAAGATGGCAGAGGATGATTAAGATGCGCTTATATTCTTCGAGAGCGTGCCCAGTACCTCGTAGCTACAGAGCATGCATCTAAAGCATAACATTGCTTATTATTCAAAGCTGTCTGGTGCATTAATCATGGGCCTGCTTTAGTCAGGAAAGAGGAATCAGAATAAAGCAATATTCTGGCTGCTTGTTTTTAAAATACACATGTGGGCAGATGCTCCAGCTACTGCTCACGTTTTTCCCCTGCAAATCACGGAAAAGCTGTGCGTGATTCTCCTCCCTGGTGTTTTCTCTCTGATTTTGTTGGCCAGGTTGAGGAAGGAAACTGCCTCAAGCCAGTCGGCATGGAAATAATAAGTATTACTAACTGAGAAGTGATTGCAGAAAGGAAACCTTGGAATAGCTTTGAAATCAAAGGTGCCATCATAATTTTTCCTCCAGCAAAGAAGCAGAAGGGCTGCAGGGCTATTTATTGTCTGTGGCCATTAAACCTCTTTTGATTTGACACCTGAATATTGCTTAACAAGTCCTCAGGAATGAACCCCAATGCTGCCCCTCAAAATTATTTCAGTAGTATTATTCAGAGCAAAATTGAGATTCTGAGAGGCAGATCTAAGGAAGACCTGCATTAATGTCTCTCTTATTACGTGTTTTTTCCAACTCAAAGCAGACGATGGTAGAGAAACTGCAGAGTTAAATTAGTGCTGGGAATATGTACCCAGCTCCTCAAATCTTCATTAAGTCCCGAGACAGAGGGTAGTGAGGAAATACAGTGATATTGCCCAAAATGTCTCAGCCTTCACCCAAGACAGCGGCAGCTCCCGGGGTTCATTCAAGATGTGGCATGGAGAAGTTTTACAGTCAATGGTGCTCACCTGGTGACCCTGGAGGATGTTATAGAGGCACAAATAGCAACCCCACAAGTTGTACCAGCATTTTCCATGAGCGTATCTCACCGCATCTACACTCCTGGAGAATTGTTTCGGAAAAACAGTGACGTTTTGGAAAAACAGTGAGTGCTGAGACTGAATGAAGTTTGACTGAATGAGGAAAATAAAGAGGAAAAAACAACTTGAGAAACGGTGAGTGACCACCCTGCTCGCCAGGTGTGAACGGTGTCAAGGCGCATTGAGCTAAACGTTTACAGGATGCATAAATTGCTTTAAAAAAAAACAACAAACCAACCACAAAACTTTGTTCACTTATTAAAATTTATCATAAAAAAGGCTAAAGCATTTACTTCCAACATACATTCCTTATGCTACAACACACTTTAAAGAAAAATCATTATTTCTTTAATTCAGCAAACCACTCCTACATGAGGAATAAAAACATAAATGTGCACAATAAATTCCTCAAATGCCATCTGTAAGAGATGCGTGTTATTTCCAGAATGGTTTTAGCCAAAACTTACTCATCAGTCCCTAAAAATGATGGATCTCCAGCTTCTCCTGTTAGTGCGAGGGCTGTCATCACCCCAAGATAACGACGTGAGGAGCATGAGGAGCGATGCTACTGGCAGACCAATCCACCAGAACCTGCTCATGGGAAGACCCAAACACAACATTTATGAAGTTATCTTCATTTACAAGCACGATGTGGCCACTGTTTCCTAATGACTAACGAAAGTTCCCAAGCAATATGGTATTTTTCACTGTTACTGACTATAGGCACTCCCTACATCGTTCTCTGGAAGACTGGGAAGATGTTGCTCTTAAATTCAGATTTGTACAGAACTTTTCATAGCCGACATCTTGACAGGCATCAGTTCACTGGGAATAAACCTCCCTTCAAATCTCCACACAGAAATCGGACTAGTTCAGTTTATATGAAAACAAACACAATGACACCACGTATTTATTAATACCATTTTAACCTATACTATGATCAACCTAGTGCATCCCAAACATCAATTATTTACAGGGCAGGAACGGGATTTCCCAGGCTGGGATTTGGGGTGTTGATGCCCCAAAACCACCCTCCTACATCACCAGGAGCACCCAAAATCTCCACTCGAGCGTGTCCATTGCCCCCTCCATCCCATGGGACCTCTCTCTGTAGCCACCAAAGGCAGGTTTTGGGGATTTGCTGGCAATTCTGCCAGGTGCAGGGGGGGAATCAAGCCTATTTTGTTGATATTTTCAGTTCCTTGTGCTCTGCCTGCGCACTGGCGCTGCTGGGAAGGCAGTGGGAGTTGGAGAGGCATTAAAAGGTCTCACGGCATATAAAAAAGGCTTGAATAGTAAAATACTTCGAGGGGTTTCAAAGGCTGGACTAAGTGAAATAGTCTTTGCAGTAATAATTGCCAGATGCTAAAAGACACAACCCACAGAGCAGCGTTGTATAACTGCAGGGAAATGGAAGAACGGGGAGGTGGAAATCCATGCACAAAGTTAGAGAGAAGAAAACCCTGTTATTTCCAAGCAAAGCCACCTCTGCTGCTTCTACAGCCAAAACTCAGCCCCAAATGCAGTGGAGGCAGAGATCGCAGGCAGCAATGGCACACAGCTTGCAGGATAAGAAAATACAATTATTAATTAAGACAAATCAGATGCAGAGCCTTTGTTTCAGCTCAGCAAACCCACGCTTTGTTTTGTCAAAGGAAGTGTAACATTTCGGTCAGTGCCTCACACTCAGAGCTTGCTTGGGTTTCCAAAATGGTGAGGAGTATGAATTTCAGAGGGCTCTGGCCATAACCAGGGCAAAAAAAGTATCAATTTAAGAGTTGTCCAAATATGAGATGCTAACATGGACACAAACCTCGTGGCTTTGTGTATCAGTGTGCAACACACAAGCAGCTGAGAGAAAAGGCCCCGCTCTCGCATCTTGCGCAGAAAACCAGTGGTTATTAAGAGACACCAATGCTTTTAAACCAAGAAAGGGCATGTCCTTTCCAGCATCTCCTGTTCCCTGTTTTGTTCTTCAACAATAAACCCATTGCACTAAAAAGTGCTATAAAAAGAAGCAACTCCTCTCTCTCTCCCACGTCTCTTACGTCAAGGCAATGCTGCTGTGTAAAAATCCAACCCGCGGTGCAATGCTGAAGTCCTGAGTTTTCTACTGGTACTAAACACGAAGTAGATCAACGGCACAGGCTGACAGTGAATACTTGCATTATTTTCTTGTTTCTTGTTAACATTAGCCAAAATTTAAAAAGAGGGAGACAAGAGATAGAGATGGAGACATGGGCTTAAATTTTCCCTTTGTGGGAAATGCCTGCGAAACGTTCCCACCAGAGAGGAGTTTGCTTTTAAACATGAGCTCTGTGGAGGTGTTTGTTCCCAAAGCGGCGCTACCTGAACCAACTTGTCCTAAGTTTCAGCTAAAACCTGGGTAACTTAGAAGAAATGAGAAAAAAAAATATATATTTAAGAGAACTCCAGGAAAGTTGCAAAAGTAGCGTCAGCTGCATGCAAAACCAGGCTGACAAGAAAGGAAAGGGGAATTGCCAGGATAACCAACAGCTTAATTACCTTAATGAAGGAGGCAGCACTTCTTAAGGATGCCCGGAATCACCCCTGGATTTGGATGGGGAACCTCAGCAAACAGGGGAAGTCAGAGTCAGCCAACTCTGACTTATTATATAGGTGTGTATATATAGGTATATATTATATAGGTGTATATATATACATACATATATATATGTATAAATACACATATACCCTATATATGTGTGTGTGTGTGTGTGTGTGTATATATAGCTGTATACATATACATGGAGGGGTGTGTACACACACACACACACATATATATAGCTTTAATCACTCACAGAACTGCAGGAGTCTCAGGGATTGCGTGGCACACAGGAAAACTTAACTTCTACCATGAAAAGAAAAAGTGCATCTTTGGTAGGCAAGCCAGTATGCCAAAAATGTAAGCATTGGGAGCCACACATACATTCACTTGCAGTGCAAATGCCTAGACTTGTTAAGGATTTGCTCTGGTCAACAGATTCCTGGAAACAATACACAGGGACCATGATTTATTTTGATCTAATAGTCTGGAAATACTTAAAAACAAGCTTACTCACAGAAACAGAGATGACTGTTTCTGACTGACATTTTTCTCTTCCGTAAATTTCTTGCATTAAAAATTTCTAGTCACATGTTAACACTGTTTATTGTTTTTAAAAAAACACATGCAGAAAGCCATCCTCTTTAAAACCAACACATTAAATAAATTATTTAAATAAAACATTAAATAAAATATATATAAATAAAATTTAATAAAAGAGAAAAGCAATAGCCTTGTCAGGCACGGATTCATCTGAAATGTATTTTCCGTGGGAGTTTGTGCTCCAACGACACCGTGCAGCGCCCAGCCAAAGTCAAATCACATAACCGAGCACTTGCCTTGCAGTTTGTCTTTCTTTTTCTGCTGCTTGGATTTCTTCCCGTCCACCTGGAGGCTGACAGTTCTCCTCTTCTCCAGGGTCAGCAGCTCCTGGAACAGCTCCTGCACGTTGTAGTTCATTTTGGCTGATGTCTCCATGAAGGAGCACTTCCACTTGCTGGCTAACGCTTGCCCCTCGCTAGCATTCAGCTCCCTCTGGGCCTCATCGCTTTTGTTACCCACCAACATGATGGGGATTTTTCGGATGTCCTCTTTGATCTGGCAGATCTGTTCGAAGATGGGCTGGAGATCTTCCATGGACTGCCGGCTGGTGACGGAGTACACCAAGATGAATGCGTGCCCTCTGGATATGGACAGCCTCTGCATGGCAGGGAACTGATGGCTGCCCGTGGTGTCTGTGATCTGGAGGGTGCAGATGCTCTTATCGCAGCTGATAACCTGCCGGTATGTATCTTCGATGGTGGGCACGTAGGTTTCCCTGAAAGTCCCCCTTACAAAACGAAGGACCAAGGAGCTTTTGCCAACACCGGCTGCTCCGAACACAACCACCCTGTAGTCGTTGCTTTGTTCAGGCATGTTTGCTGCGCTGCAAGTGAGGGTTTTAACTGGAAAAGCCCGAGTTCTTCAAGTTTACACACCCCAGCACGGAGGTGGCCTACGGGGAATGGAGAGGGAGGGGGCAGAAGGCAAAGAGGGGAGCAGAGGGAGAGACAGAAGAAGAAATCGCTCACACTGGCTCCGTAATTTGACGGTACGCTACTGAAATCAGCAAGTAAGTCACACACACAGACACACACCCATCCTTTTTTTCTGGCGTTAAAGGTAAATAAACCACTATTCGCCCCCATACATCCCATGCACACTTAACGTTATGAGAAGCGAAAACTAACTCATTCACCTGTAGCCATC